TTTTATTTTATATGTATGTGTGTATTGCCTGCATGTAGGTAAGTGCACCCGCATCATGCAATGTCTGCAGAGGTCAGAAGAGGCCATCAGATCCCCTGGGACTGGAGTTATAGACAGTTGTTAGCTGCCATGTGGGTGCTGGAATTTGAATCCAAGTCTTCTGAAAGAACAACCAGGCTTCTTAACTGCTGAGCCATCTCTCCAGCCCGAATTTCTCAATTCTAACTTTATGACATAGTATTAGTTTTCTATAACTGCTTTCACAAATTACTATAAAAATAGAAGCTTTAAACAACACAGATTTATCATCTGAGCATTCTGAAGGTCAGAATTCCAAAATCAGTATAAAATGGAGGTGTTGACAGGGTCTTTCCTTTGGAGAAGTGAATCCATTTTCTTGTCTTCTCTAGCTTCTAAAGGCCACCTGCATCCCTCAGTTTGTCCATCTACAAATCTTAAATGTTACTCTCATTCCAAAATATTACCTTACAGAAGCATTCAGAAGCATGTTTACCAGATTATCTAGGAATCTTTGCCCAGCCAAGTTAATCATCATCCCTTCCAAGCATACTATTATTGTAACTATTAATGTTATTTGTTTAGTTTTCCAGTATGTTCACTTGCATCTTCATAATTTTTATTGTGTGTGTGTGCACATGTGCTCACACTCATGGTATGTGGAGTATGTGGTTTATCAGTGTGTGGTACATGCATGTGAATATGCTGATGCACATGCCTGTGTGCACAGAGGAAGCCAGAGTAAATTGTTACCCAGTATCTTTCTCTGTCACTCTCCACCTGATTGTCTTGAGACAGGGTCACTCACAAAACCAGAAGTTGGCCATTTAGGGTAGGCTGGATGGCAGCTAGCTCTCAGGATCCACCTGTCTCTGCCTCCCAATGTGGAGTTACAGGTATGCACAGCCGTGCCCTCCATTTTCTTCAGTGTTTGGAATTCAATGGCAGGTCCTCATGCCTGCCTGCACAGCAGTGCTCTTAGCCAATGAGCCATCCCCGCCAACACCAACTCATAAATTTATTCTTGCATTCCACTTCTTGTCTATGTTCTCTGTCCTTTATTGGATCTTTTTTCCTTCAGTGATTATTATGCTCCTCTTTTTAATTCTTTAAAAAATATTTCACCTATTTTTCATTGTGGCTTTTCTCTCACCTTTTAAAGCTCACTCTGAACATTCTCACTGTTAGTCATTTTCAGATTACAGAGACACCTTGATTTACCATGTGGTGTATTACCACAAACCTATTGTAAATTAAAAACAGCGTAAGTTAAAAGTGCATTTAATTCACCTAACTCACTGGACATCATTACTTTGCTAGTCTACCGTAACAGTGCTCAGAACACTTATATAGCCTACAGTTGGGCAAATTGAACATAAAGCTCATTTTTTAATAAAGTATGGATTACTTTACCGAAAGTAAAAAATAGAATGATGATTTAGATACCCTTTTACTCCATCATAAAGTCAAAAAGGCATTGCTAAACCATCAAAGTCAAAAGCAGTCATTATTCTAATCATAATATTGTGGTCCTATTTGTAGTTTGGGAAGGTCAGTTTGTCTGATTATTATATTAGCTAAAGCTTTCCCTTCTTGGTAGTCTTGTCAAGTCGTAGTTTTTTTTTAATTTTTATTTTTTAGTATAGTCTCATCTTCAGTAGTGATTATTTCTGTGGAAATCTAGAATGGTGTGTATCTCTATAGGTCTATTTACTTTTATCTCCATAGGATCCTAACAGATTGTAAAGGTCTAGCAAGATTTTGTTGCTTTTAAGTTTATACTTTTCATAATATGCAATTGAGTAAATTTGAAATCCTCACATACTTGTGATACTTCTCCAAGGTTTTTGATTTCTTGCTGATAACTTCTCTTCCTCCCCATTGAAATGGCTGACTTCTTTGCTTCTTAGAGTTCAAACACCAAGGATTTTCTAATTAGATTTTCATGAGTGGCACAGTTCTTTAATACTGTGAGCTTTATGCATGTGCCCAATTCTTCCTCCTCTACCTCTCACCAACTCAAAGTGAATTTTCTTTCCTGGCAAGAGACTTGAGCTGTAATTCTAAGCCCTTAGGGCTAGAGTTGGGTTTGAGACTCAGTGATTGTCACAATCTCAATTTTATAACAATGTGTTATTTTAAGGGATTGTACACACCATTTACAAAGCCTCTACACATTAGCATGAACTACTTTATTGTAAATTTTTTTCTGTATTTTTAAAACATTGATGAGATATCATTGAATCTTATCATTTCCTTGTATTTTGAGAATATTACTTTATTCTCTATATTAATATCATTCAAAAATATACTTTGAGATGATTTCAACTTTTCTTCTGGTTTTTGACTTGTAAAGTTTTGGAGGGTATGCATCTGGTATGCAATAAACATTCAGTAAATGTTTTCTAAGTAAAAATAAATCTTTATGCCAAAGAAAGTTAGACGTATAGACCCTTTCAAATCATATAACAGTAGTAACAACAGTTATAAGATAATTCTATACTAAACCTGCAGGATACAGTACTATTACTGTTTTACTGGTGAACTAATTGAGACATAGAAAAAGAAACTTACCGTAAGTGTTATAGCTGGCAAGAACTGGCAGAACTGGATTTGGACCAAGTCTGGCTCCAGGGGTCTCTTTTCTTGATCATTATTCTATAGTTTTCATATTCTATATCATTTTGAGAGATATCATTCATTATTTTTACATTCATGCTTAAAATCCTTCCCACTGTCTTTCCTTCTGGATAATGTTTGAATAAATATTTTATTTTTAAAAAAGTAAATGTCTAAATAAATATTGTAATACTTCAGTCTCCTATTCTAGTCTACCACACATCAGCCCTGTTTGCCATCTCTAGTTACAGCTTTCTGAAGGCCCTCTGACAATTCATGCTTGCCTGTGTTCAAATGTATTCTCTCCTCTGCCTGGACCACCTCTCCCTTCTGCTGCCTTCCTGGGAACTCCTTTCTTTAGGAACTATGTCTCTTTCTGGAAGCCTCTATAACTGCTTATTGGGAGTTGTCCTTCTCTTCAGTGATCTCCTGAATTTGTACCAGTTGATAGAACTTATTTTACTATTACCAACAGATTGTTTTTTATTCATCGCTTAATTAGACGGCCTTCTCTGAGGCAAAGCACAGGTTTCTGCACGTGTCTGTGTCCTCAAGGCCTGGTAAACATTACCTGGCACACAGGAGATGTTCAGTAAATGTTTGTTGAATAAATGAATGAACAATTGTCATTTCATTGATTATTCTGTACACCATAAGATTTCCTTATTGCAGTGGCTTGTTGAATTTTTAAATAGGGCTGTGACTTACTGTGTTGGTAACAATGAGAAACATTTATAAGATCAAGTGACTATCTTGAAATAGAAGTCATTTAATGATTTTCTTAAGATATCTTTTCAAAGCACATAACATTTTTGCTTATTTAAT